TATGCCATAACCAAATATGCCGGGTAATTTTCTTTTGGTTCGACTTGCGTCCAAATTTTTGGGTTATGACCGTTGTCGAACCAAAAATCGGTCATAAAATCGGATGGTTTTCATGTATAAAGAAAACCACTAACACCCCCAGGGGGGACTTCGGAAAAACCCTGAATGACATAAAAACCTTTTACAGTTTGGGAAAATAGAAGTCCCTTTTAAAAAAAGCTTGGGGGAAAATTAAATAGGGTTTTAAATATATAACTTTGATTTTTTATATTTAAAAGTATCCTGTTTTAAAATGTATCAAAAAAAAATGATGAAAATCTGTACCCGTACTCTACAAGGGGTAAATTTGTATGTGCTAATTAAAAAAAGGGAAAATTAAACAAAACCCCAATTCAATACCCAGAAAAGTCAAAAAAAAATATAGTAAAATTAATAATAATTTAATAATTTTTTTGTTACCATTTACTAGCGTTGTAGTAGGTTGGTAGACAGAAACCCCAGGGAAGTATAAACCCTTCCTGCCTGAAGGGCCCGTGAAACAAAAACCCGTTTAAATGTTTTTCTTTATGGTAGGTTTTTCTGGTTTTTTTCTGTTCATATTTTAAAAGCTTGGTTTAAAAGGGATAAACTTGCTTTTCCTACTTTTTAATTTGGGTAAATTAAGGAAATGGGCACTGTTTTTATATAATTGTTTTTTTGGGTTTTTTTCTTTTTTTTTTAAAAACTTTTTGGGTTTTTTTTTTTATTCTAAAATTTTTGGGGGTTGGGTTTTTATTTTTAAATTTTGGGGGTTTTGTTGGGGGCCTTTAAAAAAGGGGAGCAATGGGTTGTCCCCTTTCCCTTTTTTTATGGGGGTTTTTTGGGTGCCCTTAAAAGGGGGTTTGGGGGAAAGGGGGATTTTACAAAAAACGGATTTATTTTTTGTTGTTTTGAATTTAAAAAAAAGTGGAAAGGGTTTTTTTTTGGCGTTTAAAAATGTGAAGGGGGGTTAGGTTTTTTTTGGGGAAAGATTTTAAAAAGGGTTAAATTTGTTGGGGTTATCGAGGGGTTTGGAAAGGAGAGGGGGTAAAACAGTAATTTTGTAGTTTTTGGTATGGGGGGAAAAAAATTTTTAATTGTGTAAATTCAAAATTTTTATTTAAATTTTAAATTATCCCAAATTTTTAAAAAACCCCCGAAAAGACCCTTAATAAAATCAAAAAAAATATTTTTAAAAAATTTTAATTAATTTGGGCCCTTTTTTTTTTTTTAAAAGTTTGTTTTAACCTTTAATTTTCCTAAATTGGAAAAAAACTTTTTAAGGCCCGGGTGTGGTAGGGTAAAATTTTGGGGGCCAAGGGTAAAATTAAACCCCTTTCCTTAACTTTTTAAAAAGGGAGATGGAAGAAAAATTTTAAAAAACGGGATTTTAAAAAAGTTCGTTGGGTGTAGGGCGGGAAAAGACAAAAAAGTGTTTGGATTTATTGGAATTAAAAGGGGTTGGGGTTTTACTTTTGGAAAACAAGTTTTTTTGGGGGAAAGTTTTAAAAAATATTTCTAGTTTAGAATAGAGAAAAAGGAAGGGGTACAAAAAGTTTAAAGATCAGGGAAGGAAGGGGGGGAAAAAAAAAAAAGGAAGGCCAAAAATTAGGGTTTAAAATTTAAAGGTTTGGGGGAAGAATTTGGGGGAAAAAAGGTGGAGCATAAAAAAGGAAAAATGGGGGAAGGGGGTTTTTGGGGATGTTAAAAATGTTTGGGTTTAAAAAGGGTTAGAGAGTTTTGTGGTTAACCAAGGAAAGTGGGCAGGAAAGGGGTGGGAGGAATTGGGGTGGAGGGGAAAGGGGTTTAAGGGAAAAAATTTGATTGGAAAAATTTTTTAAAAGGGGAAAAAGGGGAATTCAAAAGGAAAAAAGTAAAAAAAGAAAAAAGGGGGGAGGGGAAATTAAGAGGTTTTTTGGGAAAAATATTGGGAAAAAAAAGGAAATGGGTGTTGGGTGAATGTTTATCCCAAAACAAATTTTGTTAAAAATAAGAAAAGTTTTGGAGCGAGTTTTAACAAGTTAAGAAAGCCTAGAGAACAAATGGATTTGTCAGTTAAAAATAGGAGAGGAGAGTTATTAAATGGAGAGTTAGAGGTATTGGGAAGATGGGGGGAATATTTTGAGGAATTGTTAAATGTTGATGAAGATAGGGAAGCTGTGATTTCGTGTATAGGGAAAGGAGGAAAAAACTCTTGTGGGAGTGAGGAAGAGCCAGTTGTGAGTGTGGGGGAAGTTCGTGAGGCAGTAGGTAAAATGAAAGGGGGTTTAGGCAAGCTGGGATTGATGGATAAAGATAGAAATGTTAAAAGCAGGTGGGGATATAGTTTTGGGAGTGGTTGGTGCAATTATTTAATAAATGTATGGAAGAGGGGAAGGTACCTAGGGGTTGGCAGGAGCATGCATAGTTCCTTTGTATAAAGGCAAAGGTGATAAAAGAGAGTGCAAAAAATTATAGGGGGATAAGTCTGTTGAGTGTACCTGGTAAAGTGTAGGTAGGATTATAAATTTAAAGAATTAAGAGTAAGACGGAGAATAGGATAGGCAGATGAACAAGGAGGCTTTAGGAAAGGTAGGGGGTGTGTGGACCAGGTGTTTACAGTGAAACATAATAAGTGAACAGTATTTTGATTAAGGCTAAAGAGGTCTTGTGGCATTTATGGATTGGAAAAGGCGTATGACAGGGTGGATAGGGGGGCAATGTGGCAGATGTTGCAAGGTAGGTTACTGAAAGCAGTGAAGAGTTTTTTACGAGGATAGTGAGGCTCAATTTAGAGTATGTAGGAAAGAGGGAAATTTTTTCCCAGTAAAAGTAGGGCCTTAGACAAGGATGTGTGATGTCACTGTGGTTGTTTAATATACACGTATTTATAGATGGGGTTGTAAGAGAAGTAAATGCGAGGGTCTTGGCAAGAGGCGTGGAGTTAAAAGATAAAGAATCACCCCACAAAGTGGGAGTTGTCACCAGTGCTCTTTGCTGATGACACTGTGCTCTTGGGAGATTCTGAAGAGAAGTTGCAGAGATTGGTGGATGAATTTGGTAGGGTGGTCAAAAGAAGAAATTAAAAGTGAATACAGGAAAGAGTAAGGTTTTTGAGGATAAACAAAAAGATTAGGTGATGAAAGATTGAATATCAGATTGGAGGGACAGAGTATGGAGGATGTGAACGTATTCAGATATTTGGGAGTGGACGTGTCAGCGGATGGGTCTATGAAAGATGAGGTGAATCATAGAATGATGAGGGAAAAAAGAGTGAGTGGTGCACTTAGGAGTCTGTGGAGACAAAGAACTTTGTCCTTGGAGGCAAAGAGGGGAATGTATGAGAGTATTAGTTTTACCAACACTCTTATATGGGTGTGAAGCGTGGGTGATGAATTGTTGCAGCGAGGAGAGGCTGGAGGCAGTGGAGATGTCATGTCTGAGGGCAATGTGTGGTGTGAATATAATGCAGAGAATTCGTAGTTTGGAAGTTAGGAGGAGGTGCGGGATTACCAAAACTGTTGTCAGAGGGCTGAGGAAGGGTTGTTGAGGTGGTTCGGACATGTAGAGAGAATGGAGCGAAACAGAATGACTTCAAGAGTGCATCAGTCTGTAGTGGAAGGAAGGCGGGTAGGGGTCGGCCTAGGAAAGGTTGGAGGGAGGGGGTAAAGGAGGTTTTGTGTGCGAGGGGCTTGGACTTCCAGCAGGCATGCATGAGCGTGTTTGATAGGAGTGAATGGAGACAAATGGTTTTTAATACTTGACGTGCTGTTGGAGTGTGAGCAAAGTAACATTTATGAAGGGATTCAGGGAAACCGGCAGGCCGGACTTGAGTCCTGGAGATGGGAAGTACAGTGCCTGCACTCTGAAGGAGGGGTGTGTTAATGTTGCAGTTTAAAAACTGTAGTGTAAAGCACCCTTCTGGCAAGACAGTGATGGAGTGAATGATGGTGAAAGTTTTTCTTTTTCGGGCCACCCTGCCTTGGTGGGAATCGGCCAGTGTGATAATAAAATAAAAATAATAATCACTAGCACACTCCTCTCACACACTGAGGTCTGGGGTTTGATCCCCAGTACAGGTGGAAACATTAGGATGTGTTTTCTCAAGATAAATGCTGTGTTCACCTATCAGTGAAATAGGTACCTGGGTGTTAGTCGACTGGTGTGGGTCATATCTTGGAGGCAAAATTGGCCTAATTTGCCCAAATTGCTCTGCATAACAAGGGACTTTCTGTCCAGTGGTATGTCATTCATATTAGCTAGGCCTGCATACATTGTACATGTATTTCTAGAATTATTATTATTATTATTATACAGACCTAGCTGACATCATATTATATAGTGAACCCCTGGTTATGCAGAGCATTTTGGGATATTAGGTTAAAATTTTCCCCAGGATGCGACCCACACCAGTCGGCTAACACTTAGGTACCTATTTACTGTTAGGTTGAACAGGGGCATCTGGTGTCTTAAGGAAACACGTCCTAATGTTTCCACCTGCACCGGGGATCAAACTGTGGACCTCAATGTGTGAGCTTAGCGCGCTACCAACCGGGCTACAGGACACCTCAAAATTGACAGAGAAATATAGAAAAAAATTAAAACCCATCTCGGTTTGTGGGAACTAGAGGTCCGTATATGTGAAGATTTGTTGGGATTTTTAACTTTGGGGAGGGTTAGCAGCCACCCAGAATAACCTACTTAAGTCAGTGTCGTAGCTTTTTTTTTCTTCTATTGGGGTCCTTGAGTCATGTCCCCCAGGATGTGATTCACATTAATCAACTAACACCCAGGTACCTTGTTACTGCTAGTGAAAGGGAGAGCAGGTGAAAGGAAACATGCCCGTTTCCAAATGTGCCGGGGACTGAAACACAGAACGTTCAAGTGAGACGAAAACCTGCCAACGAGCCACGGGACACTATGGTACAGTGAAAGCAAAATGCTTGCTGTAATAGGAAATTCTTATTAATAGTTAGGTAATTAATAGTTAGGTAATGACCTACCAGGAGATTACAGCCACGCACATCTCGCCATTTCTCGACAGGTTCTTGCAACACTTCAACATCGTCAAACTTGGAGAAGTGTTCTAGCAGCGTTGACTTCCCACTTCCGATGTTTCCCTCCACGCACACTGTGAACTTAGCCTTGGGTCCTTTCTCCAGCATCTCCAGAGAGTACTTAGGAAGTTCAATTCTGGTGAAACGGGTGTGCACCTGCGCCTGTTCTGTTAAAAGTACCCTATAATAGTAAGATCCGCGCCACAACTGTATGAAAGATTGAATCAACCATTCAGAGCCAAGCAAGATACTGATGCACGTCATCTACCAATCAGAAGCTGAGACTCCCTCTAGTGATGCCTTTATCAGGATTTGTTTTATCAATTATTATTTGAAGTATAAATAATTCATTATTTATTATAAATATTTGGAAACATACAAATGAAGTGTTCTGTTGCAGAGTTTCAATTTGCTCTTCCATACATTACCATATTTTTTTTTTGCATTAAAATAACAGTGAACGAGATCATTCACTGTTTAATGCAATACAACATGTATATAACTTTGAAAATACATCAAATAATTCTTAATAATCGTGGTAAAAATAGTTCATTATCGATTACACAAATTCTCTCCTGGCATCTTCGGGTGAGGGGGTATAAACATAATAATAATAATAATAATAATAATAATAATAATACAAGGAAATTGTAATAATCTGTATGTTAATTAGTAAATTTATTTAGGTACAGGTACACATAAGTACAGTTACACAAATTTAGGTGACTACGATTACCATAAATAAATAAATACAAAAATAACACATGTAAACTACCCAGGATAACCCACCATTTGGGTCCTCTCAGTATCTTATTATTTAAAGCCTAGCTGTAAGATATAATAGAAATCTGTCAAAATTATAACCTTAAAAATTAAAACAGCTAAGTAACTCAACTGTGAAACTCAGTTACGGTAAAAAAGAAGTGCATATAGGAATAAAGTGAACCGAGTTATTTACATAACATTAAACAGAGATGATCAGATTACAATAACAGGTACACGAAATTACTTCTCAGTGTTAGTATACTCGTGACATGAAGCCTGAAAAATCCATGTCGAGTCGATAGGTCTTTTAAAAAAAAGTGATTGTTCTCGCGATTTTGATAAATGTGTCTAATTTATCAAGAAAACGGCAAATAGTTTTCGAATCACTATCGTTACTTTGTTTAAAGTTTTGGTGTTATTCAATGGATGTGAATAACAAATGGACTGCGTAGCACAAAATTTATTTTGGTAAATGTTAATATTGTAGAATTCCCATTTAGCGGTATTGTAAGTCGCTCAGAGCTGGTTCCTTGACGTCAGTGAGATTTTTATCCAATGAATTGGCCCTGCTGTCCCCTTCCTTGGATCGAAGCTAATAGCCTCCATTTCTTCCCCCTTTCCCAGGTGTTGTATAACTCTGACTTGGTGCTCTCCCATCATAATAATAAGGACGTGTTCTAAAAAAAAAAAAACAGACCACATTACCTGGCTTATTTTGGGGTTTAAAACAATAGAAAGAAAGCCTTTTTCCCAACATGTGAAACTTTTAATTATTTTAGTAAAAATTATGCTTCAATTTTTTAAGGAGAGCGAAGTTTTGTAGTATAATAAATATAAATCAACTAAACCAGCCACCAGCCTCACCACACCTGCACCAGCCTTCACCACACCTGCACCAGCCTTCACCACACCTGCCCCCGCCTTTCACCACACCTGCACCAGCCTTCACCACACCTGCACCAGCTTTCACCACACCTGCACCAGCCTTCATACACCTGCACCAGCCTTCACCACACCTACACCAGCTTTCACCACACATACACCAGCCTTCATACACCTGCACCAGCTTTCCCCACACCTACACCAGCTTTCACCACACCTGCACCAGCATTCACCACACCTGCACCAGCCTTCACCACCCCTGCACCAGCCTTCACCACACCTACACCAGCTTTCACCACACCTACCACCCTTTCACTACACTGCACCAGCCTTCACCACACCTACACCAGCTTTCACCACACCTGCAAAAGCCTTCACCACCCTACACCAGCTTTCACCACCCCTACACCAGCTTTCACCACACCTGCACCAGCCTTCACCACACCTACACCAGCTTTCACCACACCTACACCAGCTTTCACCACACATACACCAGATTTCACCACCCCTACACCAGCTTTCACCACACCTGCACCAGCCTTCACCACCCTACACCAGCTCTCACCACCCTGCACCAGCCTTCACCACACCTACACCAGCCTTCACCACACCTACACCGCTTTCACCACACCTACCCAGCTTTCACACCTGCACCAGCTTTCACCCCTGCACTAGCCTTCACCACACCTGCCCCAGCCTTCACCACACCTGCACTAGCCTTCACCACACCTGCACCACCCTTTCACCACACCTACACAGCTTTCATCACACCTGCACTAGCCTTCACCACACCTCCCACCAGCCTTCACCACACCTACACCAGCTTTCACCACCTGCACCAGCCTTCACCCACACCTGCACTAGCCTTCACCACACCTGCACCAGCCTTCACCACACCTGCACTAACCTAAACCACGCCTGTACCAGCATTCACCACACCTGCACCAGCCACTAGCCTTCATCACATTTGCACCAGCCAACATCCTTTACCACATTGCACCAGCCAAATATCCTTCACTATACCTGCACCAGCCTTCACACCTGCACCAGCCTTCACACCTGCACCAGCCTTCTCCACACCTGCACCAGCCTTCACCACCCCTGCACCAGCCTTCACCACACCTGCACCGCCTTCACACACCTGCCCCAACTTTCCCCACACCTGCACCAGCCTTCACCACCCTACACCAGCCTTCACCACACCTACACCAGCTTCACCACACCTACACCAGCCTTCACTACCCCGCACCAGCCTTCCCCACACCTACACCAGCTTTCACCACACCTGCAAAAGCCTTCACCACACCTACACCAGCTTTCACCACACCTACACCAGCTTTCACCACCCCTTGCACAGCCTTCACCACACCTACACAGCTTTCACCACACCTACACCAGCTTTCACCACACATTACCAGATTTCACCACACCTACCCCGCTTTCACCCACCTGCCCCCAGCCTTCACCACACCTACACCAGCTCTCACCACCCCTGCACCAGCCTTCACCACACCACACCAGCCTTCACCACACCTACACCAGCTTTCACCACACCTACACCAGCTTTTCACCCCTGCACCAGCCTTCACCACACCTACACCAGCCTTCACCACACTACCCCAGCTTTCACACCTGCATAGCCTTCACCACACCTGCACCAGCCTTCCCACCCCTCCCACCAGCTTTCATCACACCTGCATAGCCTTCACCACACCTGCCCAGCCTTCACCACACCTACACCGGGCTTTCACCACCTGCACCAGCCTTCACCACACCTGCACTAGCCTTCACCACCCCTGCACCAGCCTTCACCACTCCTGCACTAACCTAACCACGCCTGTACCAGCATTCACCACACCTGCACCAGCCACAGCCTTCATCACACTTGCACCAGCCAAACTCCTTTACCACATTGCACCAGCCAAATATCCTTCACTATACCTGCACCAGCCTTCACACCTGCACCAGCCTTCACACCTTGCACCAGCCTTCGCCACACCTGCACCAGCCTTCACCACACCTGCACCAGCCTTCACCACACCTGCACCAGCCTTCACCACACCTGCACCAGCCTTCACCACACCTGCACCAGCCTTCCCCAACACTGCACCAGCCTTCACCACACCTGCCCCAGCCTTCACCACACCTGCACCAGCCTTCACCACCCCTGCACCAGCCTTCACCACACCTGCACCAGCCTTCACCACACTTGCACCAGCCTTCCCACACCTGCACCAGCCTTCACCCCCACCTGCACCAGCCTTCACCACACCTGCACCAGCCTTCACCACACCTGAAACCAGCCAACATCCTTTACCACACCTGTCCCAGCCAATATCCTTCACTACACCTGAATAGCCAAATATTCTTCACTACACCTGCCCCAGCAAAACATCCTTCAGCAACTACACCAGAAAAACATCCTTCACTACACCTGCACCAGCAAGACATCTTTTTTTAAACACATGCACCCACCAAGCATCCTTCACTTATCTGCACCAGCAAAACATCCTTCACTACACCTGCACCAACCAAACATCCTTCATTACACCTGCACCACCAAACATCCTTCACACACCTGCACCAGCAAACATCCTTCATTACACCTGCACCAGCAAAACATCTTTTGCTACACATGCACCACCAAGCATCCTTCACTATACCTGCACCAGCAAAACAAATCCTTCACTACACCTCTACCACGAAAAATCCTTCATTACATCTGCACCAGCAAAACATTCCTTCACCACACAAGGCCTTTCACGAACCGGGCTGTTGGGGGGCATTGATCCCAAAAAACCCCTCCAGGTATACACCTGTGCCAGCAAAACATCCTTCACCACACCTGCACCAGCAAAACATTCTTCACCACACCTGCACCAGCAAAACATCCTTCACCACACAAGGCCCTGTTCACGGACCGGGCTGTGGAGGGCAATTGACCCCAAAAACCCCTCCAGGTATACACCTGTGCCACCCAAACATCCTTCACCACACTGCACCGCAAAACATCCTTCACCACACCTGCACCAGCAAAACACCCTTCAATACACCTGCACCAGCAAAACATCCTTGACTGCACATGTACCCTTCACACATATACCAGCAAAACATCCTTCACTACCACCTGCACCACATAACTACATAACATCCTTCACCACACCTGTACCAGCAAAACATCCTTCATTTACACCAGTACACCCCTTTAACTAGGATGCCTGAACTCAACCTTTCCACAGGTAAAACATCAACCCCACACCTGCACCAGCACACCTTAACCCATATAATATACAAATTATATTATGTCAACCAACTGCCATCCCTGAGCCCCTCCCTTGAAAATAAACTTCTGGAGCCTCTCCTGTTTCTATACCCCCAGATACACTGTGAACTGAATATACATGTATTTCTGATCAAGCTGTGGTACCCAGTGATGTAGGAACAAGTCTACACCTATGACCAACTCAGGTTTAGTGCTTCATATAATAATTTGCTAGTATCCACATACAGTAGGCCCCCC